TTTCAACATCAACCTCAGAACAAGACAGGAACAAGTGTAAATTTTAAATTAAATGAAGTATTGTCAATTATTAACAATTTTTTTGATGTATTAAATTTTATTTTTTGTTACTTATTGTAACTCTCAGATTGTTATCTTTATTAAATAGCAGAAAGAACAAGTCTGGGACAAGATTTGGAAAACTGCCTTGATCAAAATGATCATTGATTATAGCCAAGAGCTCATTTTCTCAGAAAACCTGATAAACATTAACAAAGATTTCAATGTGTTAGATATTATTTGGAAATTTGTAGATGAAGCATTGTCAATAATGATAAAGAATGCAACAGGAAGGTGGTGTTATCAGCTTAAATCAGGTAGAAAAAAAAAAAAAACATCAGTCTGGGAGTGTAGACTATTTTAAGAGAAGGAAAACTAATTCCAAACTTACTGCTTTTCTGTGGAAACATTGGGTAGATGGAGTTCTTAAGATGTAAAGACTGTGTGGCTAGAAGGAAAATCTTCAAAATAAATAAAAATTGTATGTATATAAATTTCAGATAGGTATCATTTTATAAAGGAGAAAGCCTTACAAAAAAAAAAAAAAAATTCTGGTCAGGTGTGTTACATGTGACTAAAAGAAAAATAAATATGGCTACTCAAAGTTAAACTCTTTGCAGTGAACACTCATATTGGTGCATAATCTGCTTTAGATGAAGATAGCAAAAGAATGAAGGAATGTAAGTCATTTGAAATAAAAATGGTGGTGTATCAGGCTTTTTGGAAGAAAAAGAATTGAAGATATCTGATTGGATTTGTATATTTGTAACTAATAATCCTAATCCATAAAGTAACTACTTCCAGACATCAACTTCAACAGGGACTTAAATCTTACTGCTAACAGTCATGGAATGGTGGTGGTATGAAGGTTCCAATAAGAAGCAACAGAAATAAAATGAAAGAAATATAAATCAGAAATTCATAAGTCTGCAAAGTCTTAGGTAATAGATTTGGAGTGTATCCAGAACATTCGCCATAAACATTTGTGCCAGGTGGGGCAGGTAATCGTCTCAGGAATTTTCACCATAGGAAACTTTGCCATATAGCATTTTTGCCATAAGACAATTTTGCCACATTCTTTTTTTTTTTCTCTCTCTCTAATATTCTTATCTTCAACATTCCTTTTGGAGTAATGTTCAATTTAATATGCAAAGTACCTTCTTTTAAAGCATATATGGAGGTCTTTTTTACAGGGTCAAACATTCTTTTATCAGATATTTTAAGTGGGCTGCATATTCAAGTTGTAAGTTTGTCTGAAATCACATTGCTTGAGTGAGAATTATTGGCAGACTGATATTATGTTAATAGAAAGTTTAACATTAAGTCTGAAATATGAAATTATATGGTTTGGGTTCTGGTGTCAATTTGAAATTTTTGTGCTCCTCACCAACGAGGATGAATGATTAGAATTTTGATCCTATAACTTCTCTTATTAAAATGTTTAAATCGAAGCAACAATAGCGTGAGCCAGATATACTTGATAACAAGGTACTTCGCATATTTAAAAAAAAAAAAAAAAAAAAAAAAAAAAAAAAAAAAGAAAAAAGAAAAAAGGTGATATTGTCTTACAGCAAAAATCCTATACAGCAAAATTTTCTACGGCAAAAATTCCCAAGGCGAGTTTTCCTACAGCAAAGATTCCCCCAAGGCGAGTTGTCCTACAGTAAAGATATTTACGGTAAATGTTCCTAGAACCGATTCAGAGTACATTTGTTAAA